GGCTTCGATTAAAACGCAATAGATATCTGCGGGCAAAAATCTACTGACGAATAATGCAGACATGTGCTTACTTACATTAGTATTTGTTTATCTTTAAAAACACAAATAGACAAAATCCAAATTAGTGCGTAAAATGCAGGCGGCGTAAACTCTCAATCAAGCCCATAAATAGAAGTTTTCTCGTCAAACCTATATAGTTCAGTTGTCAAATGTCCTTCGCCACAAAGTTTTCCTGATTTCCAATATTTTCAAGAATTAGTTTAAAAGTTTGAAAGTTTGTTTGCACATAAACAGTCAACATAACCAATCTGCATGTCGCAGGTTGGATTTGCTCATTCGACCTGGATTCGAACTCTTCTATGGATTGTACAGCGCTAAGGTACAAAAGCACACCTATATCTCTGTTCCTGTAATTGTAGCATACTCAAAAATCTATGGATTTGCAATAAAATAAAGTTGAGCAACGCCTTTCTTTTTCCCTAAAATTCAGACGAAATGTAGGGATTTGCGTACGCGTTGACTTCGCTGCTATGGAATTTTCTCTTTCGATTATTGCTGATCGAGAAAAATCAGCTGTTTCAGTATCAAATCACAAAAAAACGTTTTATTACAAATTTCTGCTGTCACAATGGTCTTAATCAGATAACGCCTTTTCGTTGTTCTTCGCCGGCACTAATTGTAAATATGAGAATCTATATAGAGAACTGTCTTTTGTTAACGCTCAATACAAAAAAATTCCAGTTTAGAAATTTGCATTGCGAAATCACACTAGAAGCCTCTATGAATGCTACTTGTGGCTTCATAGTCGAAGTACCTAATAAAAAAACCAGGATGAGTTAACTGAAAACGAATGTGAGAATAGAATTTCGGTAGAATCGAAGCGAATTTTTTCTCAGAGACAGTATATTTTAAATTCAAAGACAAAGCATTTGATCAAATTACTTCTCCACCTCAAAATTCTTACAGCTTTACTTATATCCCAAAAGTGAACGACAATCACTTTAGTTTTTTAGAAAAATTTTCT